AACTTTTTTTAAATCTTTTTCTTTGATTCAGATTTGATTCAATTTCAGTAAATAGTTCTTGTTCTATTGAGTGATTAAGTGGTACTTCGACTCACTATTTTTTCTGCCTATGCAAAGAAATCGAATTATTTTGTAGGAATTTTGCATTTTGGGGTTTTCTGGTATTTGGCTGTTCCCTGGTTTCTTTGAAACATTTAAAGCTGTGGATGCAGTGTGTCTTTTTTTTTCCTTCCTTTTATTGCTTCCTCTTTTTGTTTTGTTTATGGAAATGAAAATTTGGCTGTTCCCTTTTCCAAGTTTTTTCTATTGATGGATCAGACTGCCACTGGTAGATCATCCCTGGTTTTATAGTTCTTGGATAATTTGATTTGATGCCTCTGCTTTTAAGATTTAGACAAGTTTTAAATAATCTCAGCCATTTCACAAATAATTTATTGGTATATTATTAGGTGACTTTACTTTAAGATGATGCTCTTGAGATATGGGTGTGCTATTATGTCTCTAAGATATCCAACTAAACTACCTAAATAACTATTGGGTTTTTCTTGCGGTGTTTGATGCAATTACTTCTTATTTAAGATTCTGTCTTAGTTGATGAAAGAAGTTGTGAGTCTTGTGACGTTGACTTTCTTTGTTTGGTAAGCAGTTCTAGTCACTTCTAGGTTCCATGGGAGCTGATCGAAATGGTTTTCATGTGAATCCTCGATGGAGATAACTTGAACTTTAACTTGGGCTTGAAATTGCTTATTTCTATGCATTAATGGGGCTTCGAAGAATGTTTCTTAGGAGATTTTCTGTTTTTGTACAACCTGTTTGAATGTTCCCAAGACACATACATATGAATATACATATATATGTTTTTTATTTTTTTGTGTGAGTTGGTGTGTCTCTATGCCCTTTGTGTGCGTGCTTATTTATGGTTCTAAAGAACTCTACCCTTCTTTTTCCTTCTGTATATGTTTTGTCTCCAGATATATCTCATCATTGAATAGCCTGTATTTTGACAGTAGATACTTTTTCTTGTAGGAAAAGGCATGATGACTGATCAGCCACAATACCCAAGGGTTGCTCAGAAGGTAGCTGGCAAGCTCCTTCTTAGATCTAGCCCAGTTCAAGATTTTCGGACTTATGAGATAGGTTTTCAGCAGCCTTCTCTTTATCAGAGGAAATTCCATTATGGGAATTCCACCAATACTGCATTGCATTATTCTATGTTGCAACCATGTCGAGCTACACAAGATCTATCCATGGTTGCATCGAATGTGTCTACTGTTTTTGTCCAAGCCCCTTCAGAGAAAGGCTTTGCTGGTTTTGCCATTGATTTTCTCATGGGTGGAGTCTCCGCAGCTGTATCCAAAACAGCTGCTGCTCCAATTGAGCGTGTAAAGCTTTTGATCCAGAACCAGGATGAAATGATTAAGAGTGGTAGGCTGGCCGAACCATATAAGGGTATTGGTGATTGTTTCGGCCGAACAATCAAGGAAGAAGGGTTCGGTTCATTATGGAGAGGGAACACTGCTAATGTCATTCGTTACTTCCCAACTCAGGTTAGTTTTTTATTAGCATTTTGTTCATACTTGTAGTTTCCTAACATTGTAGCTATTTTCCCTGCTAGTGTTACACTCTATTCTTATATTACTCGAACATTTCACCAGGCTTTGAACTTTGCATTTAAAGATTACTTCAAGAGGCTGTTCAACTTCAAGAAAGACAGAGATGGTTACTGGAAATGGTTTGCTGGCAACCTGGCGTCAGGAGGTGCAGCTGGTGCTTCTTCCCTTCTCTTTGTCTATTCCCTGGACTATGCCCGTACCCGTTTAGCAAATGATGCAAAGGCCGCGAAAAAGGGAGGCGAGAGGCAATTTAATGGCTTGGTTGATGTCTACAGGAAGACAATAGCATCTGATGGTATTGCTGGGCTTTATCGTGGATTCAATATTTCATGTGTTGGGATCATTGTGTATCGTGGTCTTTACTTTGGAATGTATGATTCCTTGAAGCCGGTGATCCTTACCGAGAAGTTGCAGGTAAATTTGCCTTGCTTTGACAGTCTTACGATAAGAAATGGACAAGATGAAATATTCTTCATCACTTTGGATGGCCATTACGCATCCCTCCTGTTTCAGGCATTTATATTGTCTTCTTTAAGATTAATTGTAACAGGAAATATAAATAAGGTGGACTTACAATTATTGGACTGATGCATACAATAGTGTCAACGGGCTACACGTGTTGTCTATCATTTCAAACAGAAATCGTTAGACAAGGCTAATTCTAATTTTATCCAACAGCTTCATCACAATTGTTTTCTACTTTAATGCTTTCAGGATAGCTTCTTTGCTAGCTTTGCCCTTGGTTGGGTAATCACCAATGGTGCTGGCCTTGCATCCTACCCACTTGACACTGTTCGCAGAAGAATGATGATGACATCAGGTGAAGCGGTTAAATACAAAAACTCGTTTGATGCATTCTCTCAGATCCTGAAGAATGAGGGTCCCAAGTCTCTCTTCAAAGGTGCGGGTGCAAACATTCTCCGTGCTGTTGCTGGTGCTGGTGTCCTTGCTGGTTATGACAAGCTGCAGGTTATCGTTTTTGGAAAGAAATACGGATCTGGTGGTGGTTAAGTAAACTGGTATTCTCATCCCATTGTTCCTTTTACATTAGATGGTGATGAAAAAAATTCTGAGTTCCAGATTTTATCCCGGCATTTTTGTTTTTGGCTTTTGAATAATTCAATTTTGAAGGAGAGTTGCTCCCAGACCATCTTTGATTTGGCTTGATTTTTTGTAAACCTGATAAATTATAGCGGCTGCCAATGCAATCGCTGCCCTTGATTTTCTGAGATACGAACTGAGGCATTTATTCCAGGTGACGTATCTTCTTTTCTCTTAATGTATTGCGTAGAATGAGTTTGTGTTTTTATCCCTTCTGCTTATATAACCGATACCAGGTATGGCAACAGCTCATTGAACTTTGGAGGCAGAGAAATCTGGTCACTTGTGTAAGTGCAATTCAGTTGAGTTGTTTTCTTATGAATAGGACTGTTAAGGGGGCCAAGCTGGCCTGAACTCTGCCTCTTTGGCTGCATGTTTTTCTACGCAAATTGTTTTTGAGTTGAGCTGAGTTGAATGTGGACTACAATTTAGCTTTGACTGAAAGTTTGAGACGGGTTTGGGTTAGTCTTGGTTTAATATGCCAGTGGCACCATGATCAAATCCTGCCATGTGAGAATACCAAAGAATATCAAGGAGAAAGAGATTTGGGAAAAAAGTTTTTCTGTTCAATCACTCAACTTGATTTCCTTTATACCATCTCCTTTGTGCTTCCCTATTATTTTGCACTATGTTTCTTGCTGAAACTAAACAGATTTCATTTACTTAAAACTAATTTGTCCGCGAATGTGTCAATTAAGTTGAGATAGAAATTTCATTGTTGTGCAAATAATGTGATAAATTTTGCAATTGCATTACGAGAAATGGTTACTTTCAATAAAAACATAATTGTTTTTAACATTTCTTAGAATTATTTTTTTGAGATTTAATTTTGTCCAACTACTATTTTATAGAACTTTTTTATACACATCTTAGTATACAAATAATACATTTTGATTAGTTACATTTCTTGAATTATTATTTTTTCTAAATTGAATTTTGTCCGACTGCTATTATACAAAACTTTGTTATACCCATCTTAGTGTAAAAAAATACATTTCAATACGTGTACATGTACATGTACATAGTATTATCCAGAAACATGGGATCAAATCCTGCATTAATCAGGGTGGAGATGTTAAATAATAATAATAACAACAACACCAATAATAATAATAATAAAAAAGAGAGTTACCCTAATTATGTGGCTCAAACATTAAAACAATGGTGAAAAAAATGATTGTATCATGGGTATTTGATTTTTTAGCAATGCTATGAGACTTAATTCGGGACTTAATCCAAGGGCTTAATTCATTGAAAATCATTAGATAAGTATGACTTTTAAAATTAGATTAAATTCACTTTTAATTCATCAAGTATAACCGATTAGGATCCTACATTAGATATCTAAATGAGGTGCTTACAATATTTTTTAAAATATTTATAACAATATATTCTGACATGCTTAATCAATAGTCCAATATTATTGTTTGATAAAAACCTAATGTGAAAACGGTGATTCGTATTGCTCCCCACCATATATAGTAGATAATGAATTGTGGAATGTGAGTTTGTGTTTTGTTTAAGTTAAATTGTAACACAATCACATCACATTCATAAAATCGTGTATAATAAGATTAATACGAGTATACACTATAATTAGTTAGATTCATATTATTCTTGCTCTCGCATTCATATTAACTAAATTATTAAGTAGATTAGATAATTCACCCATTTATCGGCCTAAAGTCACAAAACTTAAACCCAAATCTAATAATTATGCTAATCAATAGTTAAGAATGTCCAAATTAATTTATGTGCACTTTATCTAATTATGTTTGTTGTTCAATAAATAACAATTTCGTAAGGTGCTTGCTAATCATGTGGGGAATCACCATACCTGATCTCCCCTGCCCTAGGCAAAACCAGGTCTTCTAGAACATAAACTAAACAATAAATGAGAAAAATCTCCAACGGTCGAAAAACAGTAAAATATAACCCCTCTCCATTCTCCAACGGTTCACTCTTCACTGTCTTAGCTCCCCCCGCTAACTTTAGATCTCTCTCTCTCTCTCCGTCTAACAAAGATCAACTCTTCCAATTCAAGCTCTCCGTTCTTGGGTCTCTCTCTCTCTCCCCCTCGTAGATGGAAGTAGCCATAATCGATTGGAAAACCATAGACTCCAGCTTCGTGAAAGACGAACTCTACGAGAACATCAATGCCCCAAAGTGGGTTGATCTCAATGATCCCAAAGATTCCGTTGACGACGAAACTTGGTTCTGCAGAGCTGGTAACACAAACACACACACAGATACATATATATATATATATATCTATATAACATTTTTAGATGGAAATTCTTGGAGTTTAGTTGAGAATTCTTTGATGGAGCCTGACATTTGAGTGCATTTTGTTGGTGCAGATTGCAAACATCCGAAGAGGGTTGAAGATTTTTGCAAAGAAATGCCTAATTTAAAGGTTCAATTTTTTTATTTTCTTGATTTCTATGCAGCCTCGTCGTGTTTGGTTATCAAGAAAGTGTAGGAAAATATACGCTCCGGAGAGAGCCCATATTAGATTTTCAACACTGGAGAGCATTAAACTTTTATCCAACCCAATACATAAACTGTATTTGGTGTAGAGAACCAAAAACACGTTAATGCAGAAATTCAAGATTCAATTTTTTTTTTTCCATTTTCCCTGCACTTTCCGGAAACAATTTTGTTCTGATTTTGTTCATTATCCCTTTTTTCTTCCAAAGAAAAATGTGTTCAAATCTCAACTTCTCTGATCGCCATGCATTTTTATATTGTTAGGCCATCAAAAAATGTTTCCAAATGATTACTTCCAGTGAATTGTTGCAACCATAAAACCTACTTTCCTTCATAGAACATACTATACATTAAACAGATGATGCCAGATTTAGTTTTTCTTTCCTTTTCCTGTACTTTCTCTGCTGCCAAACACAAGGTTAAAATTTTCACTTTATTATGGCCTCATTTTCTTGATGATCAATGCTTTTATTTCTGTGAAGCACCAGAGATCAACTAGTGTGTCTGAAATCCTCCCATTGGGTGATCGAAATAGAAGGTACAAAAATGAAAAAAACTTAGCTCTAGATAATGAAATTCAAGTTGATTTTTGCATAAATGATTTTCAGTTCCTCCATTTTCTTGTTCAGAGATTCAACACTGAAGAAGAGAGGGTTCATTCAAACTCCATTTTCGTCAAACAAAGACCTTAAATGTGATTCAGTTGTCGAAGATAGCGAGAATGAGAACCCCAATCTATCCACACCACCAAATCACAAAGCTAGTAGATTCATGAAAGAAGCAGTTAAATCAAGTGCAGAGAAGAAAAGGGCTGATAATTCCTTGCACAATGAAGAGGCGCCGAGGCTGAGAAGTACACTATCAGCACGCAATTTGTTTGCAGGGAGGGATATATTGAATCAGATAACAGAGTTTTGTAATGAGTTGAAGAGATTGGCGATGAGGCCAAAGGACAGAGAGAATCTGGAGAAAGAGAATGTGAAGAGTCCGGTGAGAATGCATAAACAAGAGGTGAAGAACCATTTAGGCAAAAATTCTAAGGATATGAATGAGAAAGATGAGAGGAAGCCATTGCTAGCGCCGAGTAAAGAGAAATGTGAAACAATGGAGAAGAGAAGTGTCAAGGACAAGCAGAAACAGGAGGTGAAGGACCATTTAGGTGGGCATTTGAGGGATTTGAACGAAAGAGAGGAGAGGAAGCCATTCCTAGTGTTGAGTAAAGAGAAATATGAAACAATAGAGAAGAGCAATGTCAAGGAGAAGCTGAGGAGGAAGAAGTAAGTCTCTTTGAATACTCATTAAAATATGTACATGCATACTTTGATAGATATATATGCAGTATACAAAATCTCTAAGGTTCTTTAATTGATGAAATATAGAAGTTTAGAGACATTTTGTTGTTATTTAGTGTAGTCTTTAGGATGATCCATCATCTTATGCCTTGTCTTAGATTATGTATAATCTGATAGAAATTAGCACTGTACTCATGATTCACTTGGAACACTTAAGCTGCAAACTGCAAAGTCAAAACTATTTGTTATTGCAGAGCCATATTCAGTCATTTGAAATATATGATAATAATGGTTGAATACTTCAAATTTTGGGGGATGTTAGATGAAGTTTACTCTTGAGAACCACCTGTTTTATCAAAGACTAATGGACAATTCTATTGTGCAGAAGAACTGATGAAGCAGAGAATACCCCAATATCTGTGGACTTGAAGAACATAAAGGGCAAAGGACATGCAAGCTTGTTAGAAATCCGGACCTGTCCCCCCTCTCCTCAATGTTTTTCAGCCAGGCGCGAGCCCAACAAAGCCACCACCCCAAGGCTTTCAAGTCTAGACCTCAGGTATATTTAACTTTGAATTCTAATTGTGATGATTCTGGAATTTCTTTTTCCCTTAATATTTTCTTCAGCTTGCTTATTCCTTTATTGCATGTTGAGGCAAAAGGTAGATCCACTGATATTAGATAACATTTATGCAAGCAATAAAAAATAGAAATATGAGTGGCTTTTGATTGTTTTCCAATTATACTTTGAATGATGCATTTGATCATGTTATTCATTGTTTAGACAAATCTTTTCAATGCAAGGTACATTATGACCAAGTTACAACTACTTTCTGGCCACATCTGAAAAGCAAATTGGCCTCCCCCAGCTCATGAGTTATGATTAGTGATACCACCCAAATTGCAGTCAGTTCATCCTGCCTATGTGATTTAAAATGTCAATTGTCAGTGACCATAGACGTAGAAAGAGAATGTGAAGGAAAAAGACCACAGTTAGTGCTAAACTATGTACTCCATCAAAACAATTGATCAGTTACTCCTGCAAAACTAGACTGGTATTATTGACATTGAATGTTGAACGGATTTCAAGAGCTTTGGAGAGCGAATTAGCCTCCCCAGCTCCTATGTTATGAGTAGGCATTTACAGCACTCAAACATGCAATCAGCTCATCCCGCCCATGTGATTCTCATATTTGTAAACATGGATGTAGAAAGAGAATACTACCAATCTAGTTTTGATTGTGATCTTTTTTCCTTCTCATTCACTTTCGGGCATGCATGTTAATCGATATGTGAGATCATGTGGGCAGGACGAACTGATTAAATATTTGAGTGATGTCAATGGTAATCTGTTCAACATTCATTCAAGAAAGTAGGTGGTTTTGTTCTTCTGATGTAACTTGGTGATGTGCTTTGGAACTAATTTAAAATGACAGAAAACTCGAGGATTTGCAACACCACATTTGGTATGTTTGTATGTTCGGAAAGAGTAGATTTCCTAAAGATTTGGTTAGGCAATGAAAGTAGGTGGTTTTGTTCTTCTGATGTAACTTGGTGATGTGCCTTGGAACTAATTTAAAATGACAGAAAACTCGAGGATTTGCAACACCACATTTGGTAAGTTTGTATGTTCTGCATGGAAAGAGTAGATTTCCTAAAGATTTGGTTAGGCAATGAAATTAGTGCCTATGTTGTTTGTGTAGTCAATGAAACCCCGGTTTAAACAATTCTTTATCTCAGTTGTTGCTATTGGCTATGAAATTTTTAGTGACATTCTAATCTACCAATGTCTTTCATTGAACTAATGGTATCATATCATTGCAAAACAAACTAAACACCAATTGCCTAATAGCAGGACAAACATCTTGCTTCTCTTGCCCTATAATCTTCCATGCGCATGCTAAGATTTTCCTGTGAAACGTTTCATTCTCTCTTGGCCAAGACTGTATCCATATTATTACGTAAAGTGATTCACGATGCACTATCCAAGGTCTTTTCTAGCTATGTTAAAGGAGAATCATGCGTTAGATTTTGCAAATACTATTGAAAACCAGCTTAACCTTGGAGAGATGAGTATTGCAGTCTTATTCTTTTTTATAATCAATTATCATCGTTTTACTTATTCCTTTATATAATGGAATGATTGGCTCTTTAGGAAAGAGGAATACTTCAAGAACTGGAACCGAGTAAGGAGGCAAGAGAAGCAAGAACCATGGATGTGGATGTTTCGGGTGTTGGCGAAAGAGAAGCAAGAACCATGGATGTTTTCTGGTTCTTGAAGCCCTGCACACATTCTAGCTAAGCTAGTTAAACCAGTAAGAAGCACAGCATCATTCTTTCATTCTTTTACCAATTTTTTTACATATTGTATAACCAAACACTCATATTTTGTTGTTGAAACACTTCCAATGAATAAATTGTTGCCTCTCAAGTCCTTATTTTGAAGTAGCACAACTCTGTTTCAACTTTAGCCTCCTACTAATTTTCACATAAGAGGAAAACATAATATGTAGATGCATGATGTGCTGAGAAAACATCAATTTCTTCAGATTAGCTACTTATTTATAATACATATTTTAAAGGAGGAAAGGAAAGGGAAAAGGAGAACTTGGTTGGGACTCTGATGTCAATCAAGAAGAACTAGAGGGCAGAATGAATATGATAACTGCTGGACTTAGATAACTGCTGCTATTCGATTGATGTTAATGGGTGGGGAGGGGGTGTAGATTATGGTAGGCATAGTTACTAATGAAGTGGGTACAACATAGAATTGGATTGCGCTTAAGTAGTTTTATACTAAGGAATTTAATGGGATGAATATGGAAGAAGGGCACAAGAAGAAGTGCAGCCATAGAAGGAAATCAACAGATAGGCCACGCACGATGAATGGATGTACAACAAATCGGATTCATTTTGCCTTGTTCCTTCAACATGATTCTCTCAAGTGCAACTCTCTTTGAGGGTTCTCGTTTTTGGAGTTCCATTGCATTAATGAATCCGGCTGGAAAGACTTATATCTACTACACCGTGCCAGCTATATATTCCGACTGTCACATCCTCTTGGGCAAGTTCACTCGCGGAATTAGCAACTCTTCTCACGAATTGGATAGAAGATTGTGACATCCCTTGATCAGAGACTAGAGCAGACACATTTCTCCACTAGCTTTCATATGCTTCAAACAGAAAGGTCGAACCCCTTGCGAATGAATTTCCCTCTTGTGGGGTAAAAATAGCCCCATCCATGAGGTATATTGCCCTACAATAACTTTTTTTTTTCCGAATTGCCAGCATATACACAACGGAAATCCCAACCAAAAACACTCACAAGTCCCTCAACAAAACCCAATTATGAAAATTTTTATCCCCAAAGTAGATGCCAGGTTTCGAATATCACAAAAAACTGAAGCACGGATCACCCTTTTATTACTTTGAAACAGAGCTCTTCGTTTACATCAGTAACTCGCAATAACACCACCATAATAACAACAACCACCAAACACTAAAAGACGTACAAAAGTTATATAGACTAATTATTAATACATATGAGCAGCCTTGTTATTACATCAATCAGGCCGTCAAAAGTCTACAGTGACGAGACTCTTGTGTACTTTGTCCGATGATCTACCTTGTGTTACAGAGCACACAATCAAAGATTCTAAAGCAGGCGGACCTCAAGCGCGGGTATACACTCCTGCTGTATGCACTTGACTCCTTAAATATATCCTCCATGGTCTCCACAAAAGGGTTTAGGCTTCTTAGAGGAGGGATATAGAGGGTTAAAGGAACTGTAGAGAAGGCTATGGCAAAGAACCAGTGAACCACCTGCAACATCTCTGCTTCTTTCTATAGCTGCCTATAAGAGAGAGAGAGAGAGGATGGACTTGGTGGGTATGTGGAGTTTGCGATGTCTGATGGAGGTGAAGAGCACCGACCCTCATAAATTGTACATCAAATGTCTTATATCTAAATGGCAATTGGTCTAACCCGTGGGGTAGTGTGGGGTTGGATTTAGAATTATAAATTCTTATATTAAATATTTAATTCTTATCGGTGTCCCTTAGACTTAGACTCGGGGTATAACAAATACATGTAATTTATAAGTGATTATATGTATCTAAATTTTTTTTTTTGTATTAATAAATCTAAAATAACATTGTTCGTCACATATGAAACTATGTTATTGTCTCTCTACAAGCTTAAATCGGTCATTTAAATGAAATTGAAGGATACTCCAATTATTTTGTAATGTAAAAAGAGCTAAACTCAAATATTTATATGGATCTAAAAAATGTTCAATAAATTTTTTTTTTTCAAGGGACATGATAAGTATTAGAAAATAATTTTTTGACAAATAATTTTTAGTTGATGGATTGTGGATTAAATCATTTTCAAATATGTGTAAATATATATATATTTTTTTGCAGTGGAATTTTAGGATGAGAATTACTTGCTCAAAAAATTAGGATAAGGATGTACCCATGTACCTCTTTTTTTGGGTACCTTTATATTTTGGTTGGTGGCGGACATGACAATAAGGTCCAAGAAATTTAAGGATAAGAATGTCCCACCACATACTTTATATAACATTTTCAATCCTGGCACAATATTGATTTAAATTTAAATTTAAATAAAAAAATTTTCAATTCATTATTCAAACTCATACAAAATGAAGAAAAATTTAAATTTTTACTCAAATCTAGAAAGATTTAAATCTTTATTCAAATTTTTAATGTTAAGATATCACTTTCTTTTAAATATGCAATGGGTATATTTCATATTCATTTAAATTTATGTTTCTGTTCTTTTAAATTTGAATGAATATGGCCGGGCTTACATAGGATTTGGAGTCATAAGATAGATTCCTGTTTGTTGCTAGATATTTGTAGTACATGGTAGTTACAATGTGAGTGTGAGTCCAAACATAGAACTTGTTTGTTTCGAATAACACCTCATCGGATTTGGATCCTTTTGCTTAATAATTGGTCATCTTTAACTATTTGTACACTTGTACATATATCCTAATTATGTCTAAATGGAGTAACATCTAGTTATTAACACGAGAAGACGGTTAATCCTTAAAAGTGGTTCAGTGGTTGAACTTGATTTTTAATAACTCAAAAGTCTAACGTTCAATCACTTCTCACACCTTTTAAGGACTAACCATCCAAGGAACATGCTCTAATGAGCTCAAATCATGGTAAGAACGGCTAAATTCAAGGAAATAATCGCCACAAACTTGAACCTCTGTAAAAAAAAAAACTGTGAAGACAGTTCAAATGAAAAGATAATAAAGATGAATATTTCAAAGTCTAAATCGATCAAGTTTTCCCCATAACTCCTCATATATTAATAGAACTATCAATGAAATGGGTCTGGTTATTAATTTTTGAGTATTGTACATTCATTTTTCATCCAATAAGATTTTATCAAGTGTAAAATTTTATTAGTTTTGTTTGGATACTACTTTATAATTTTTTTTTTTACAATCAATGAATATAAATTAACGATTCTCGATCAACTTTAGTATGATGATGGCCACATTTTTTTGTGGGTAACATAGACTCATCCCAATGCTGTAAGGTTAAGAAGAAGAAGTGCCTTAACCTATATGGACATGCTTCTGCTTATATTAGGTATGATTACTGGTTGTATAAGTTGGACACCAAAGATGACTATTTTCCTATATTGGGGGTTTGGAGTAACAGTTAAGAATCTGTGGATGTTGGTGTGAATAACTTAGAAATACGAAGAAGGGCTATGGTTTAGCAATTTATCAGTTACCTGTGAGGTCCTGGTGAGTAAAGTAGGGAGACAGGAGTAGATTGAGTTCTATGAACACTGAAATAAATGAAGAGGGCTGAGTGAGCTCGGTGCCCTGTGTACAGTTATGTCGGTACGTGTTGTAATTGCTCGGTAAAGAGATTAAAAATTATCCGTGCCTAAAGGCACTATGCAACACTAAAAAAAATCGTAAAAGCCCAAAATTGCATTAAACTAAAAGGTGACATAATATTTAGTAAGAATTACAATGGGAGAATTATAAAATTTTAAACCAATCACTTAGTACACCAGAACCTTACAAAACAACTCTCACTAATTTTCTAGTTTCACAAACATAACATAAAATTGTAGTGATGTTACCACTAATTTTGAAAAGCCCATTTGTTTGCATGATTTAAGGAACAATGGACTATGCCACTTTTTTATAACCTATTTCCTGTTGTCTAGCTAATCCCTTGAAGTACACCACCGACCTTCAATAAGTTGCATGATTTCAGCAAATACAACAAATGTGTTGTATGTAGAGGAAATTCTAATAGGCAACTCTACCCCTTGAATTTTGCCAAGAGAATTGCTAGCTAATTGAACCCATTGTAGAGTGCTAATCCTCTTGCTGGAACTTTTAGTGTGATGAATGATGCCCACAACCAGAACAAGCACATAGAGCAAATTTTATTCCATGTGATAGATAGACTAACTTCCAACAGTTGTATAATTTCATAATATTTCCAATACATTGTTGACAAATGAATAAATTTATCCCCATAATCATGATTCAAAAAAAAAAAAAAAAACTAATTAGGTACCAAAACATATATACAGGATATGATCTATGAATAAGCAACCAAAACTACTATATCAAAGCTATTCTATAATGTCAAAGACGTAAATAAGTGCAAACACATAAAATTTTGATAAAGAGAAAATACAAAGAAACCTGTCAATTAATATGCACTCATGGAAACAGAGGGAAAAAAATATTTACCAATTTTTTTTCCCATTCTTCACCTAAATTTTCTCAGAAATCAGACAAAAAGTTTGATGGATTCGCACTTTAGGCACCTGCAAGACAAACAACCAATTAATTACGATTTCACCTATTTGTAAACTGAACACAAAATTGAATAAAAAAGAACAACATTTTCCACTAACATCAAAAAAAAAAATTATATTTTCGTTAAATAAAAATCTCAATTTGGTTGGTGAGAAAACATAGAATGAAATTTGAAATCCTATATCTTATGCATAATGTGGGAACCTGGAAAACAACAAACTCAATAGTACAATCACATCTAACTCACAGTAGAAAGATTAGAGTACAAATTTTTTATTTCTTTCACTCATTTTTTTTAGCAACAAAAAATACATCAATTCTAAGAAAATTACCATAGTATGCAAAAAAGCTCACCACAACCAATCTGATAACCATTTGAAAAAGTAAAACTAAGATTAGTTCCAAATAATTAAAAACTTTGAATTTGCAAAAAATAGAGAAAAAAACTAATCCACAGCTCACTAATAACCAATCTGATGACCAACTGCAAATGACCAAAACTTGAATGTGAGTTATACTCTCAACTTCCAGCTTCAATGCTATAATACGAATAGAATTAGCAAAATAGAGAAGAAAACAAAAACAAAAAGTCAAAAATATCAAATCAACTGTAACAAAAATTAGAACTCAATGTTAAATAGGTATATGACATCAACAAAAG